GGGGGGGGGGGGAGGGTGCCGGAAAAAGATGAAAAAGATAAGGATTTCCTCCCTTCAGGGGAGAGCCCCCACCCCCCCCTCCTACTCACTCAACTCAGCCACCCCCCCCCCCCCACCCCCCCCACCACTCTCTCCCGCCACCTCTCTTCTACTATGGTGTCTCTTGTCCGGGCGTGGTCACTCAAGAAGGCTATCCCGGGGACGGTGGCAGCCCCCACGCCTCTGGCCGACGTCGTTGACTTGGCCACCACACTCGCAGCGAAGACCTTTGTGAGGACCACCACATCGTTTCCGGTCAATGATGAACCTCGTGTGGAAGATGCACTGAGTGAGGATACTGCCCTTGATTTGCATCATGCTCTGCGCTCGCTCAAGGCCATGCTGACTCGCCTCGGACCACATTCACCGGCTGTCTCGGCCTCGCTCTCTGCTCTCCTTAACTGGTTCGCCTACGTCCCGCTCGAAGTGGGCGATGCCCAGGCAGATGCCTTTGCCAGGCACTCGAACGAGGCTCCAGACTCGGCGCCTGTGCGCTCGACTAATGACTCTGGATCTTTGAATGACAGCTCATCGCTTGCGGTTATTGCCGTCTCCGTCGCCGAGGCCAAGACTCTGCTCAAGATCCGCAAGGCCTGCACCCACGCCGCGCTCTTTGGCCTCTTCTTCTCCACCCTCCTCACTCCGGACCTCCTTCGGGCGCTTCCGTCAGAGCTAGCCCTACAGATCATGCGTGCCGCCTACGATGGCATCCGGTCCAAGCTCAAGATCCCGTCCAAGATCCCGTCCAAGTTTGATCTCACCACCATCGAGGCCAACGCCGTCTTTGGCTTGAGCCAGCTCTCGGCTGTCCTCGCTCTCACTTCCGCCGTCAAGCTCAAGGACATCATTATTGAGTTCTCGTCCGAACTCGAAGACGCCGCCAAGCCGCCGCACATCATCCATCTCCTCCGGGCCGTCTCGTCGCTCGATCTCACCGCGGCCACGCCGCGGCCCGAGACTCCGCGGCTGGTCCTCTCGTTCCTCGGCAAGCTTGCAGGCATTGTCGAGACCGGCAAGCCTGCAGCAAAGTCAGGCGATGTCCGTGTCGAGGTTCTCCGTGGCCTGCCGCGCCTTCTGCTACCTCTCTTCCGCGACCGTGACGCCCTCGTCGAGCTCCGAGGCCTTCCGGGCTTTCCCGCCACGGTCTCGGACTTGCACAAGGCCGTGGTCAAGATGTGCGGCAAGGCCAAGACTGCTGCTGACGGCTACCTCGCTCTTAGTGTCGTTCTCCCACTCAGACACGCCAATCTGGCTCTGGCGCCCAAACTCTTCTCGTCGTCGGCCTTTCTCAGCCCGGTCTGCAAAATGTTCAAGGGAAAGACCGAGCGGGCCGAGGCGCTTCGGGCTCTCGCCACCTTTTTCACTGCTCTTCGTCTCGACCTTGACCCAGACATTGGCCACACCGATGTCATTGATGCCCTGGATGCCCCGCTCGCCAAGGTCACCTCGCTCCTCTTCCCCATCCCGTCGGCCAAACAGGCTGCCAAAGAGGCCAAAGCCTCGCGCAAGGCGGCCCTCAAGACGCTCAGCCGCTCCAAACCCATGGCCCGCATCATGGCTATGGGCTCGCTCACCTTTTCTCAGGTTGTCGACATTGCCCTCGCCGAACACACGCCGCTCAACTGCTACGTCGATGTCATTGTTGCCCTTGTTCAGCTCGCCCCCGAGCTCGCCATGGATGCTGCCTTCTTCAACCTCCTCACCGACATCAAGTGGCCCAAGCGTGCCGCGCTCGGGTTTGGCGCCCTCGCCGCCATGGACGACGCTTGCCGTAGTGCCGCTGTCTCGCACGTTCTCTACGACGTCGAGCTTGTTCTCTCCTCACTCTCCCACTGGTGGATGGCTCTCGACGCCGAGCTTGGTAACTTGCTCCTCTCCAACTCGAAGGCTACTGCGCCCAACGCCGATGCCTTTGCCACTCACTTTGGCTCCGGCCTCTCATTTGGCCTTCTTCTCGCGCTTGTTCGCGCCCTTCCGGCCTGTGTCTCCTCCTCGTACCTCGACACTATGCCCGAGATCCTCGCCAAGCTCGTCAAGCTTATGGTCCACACCGACGCTCGGCTTCGCGACGCTGCCCACGCCTCGGCACGGGCCATCTTTGACGCAGCTGCCGACTGGGGCTCGGCTCGCGCCGACCTCATCAATCACCTCTCGGTTCACATCCGCAGCCTGCCGGCAGAGAACAAGCTGACCCGCGAGTTGCTTCCGACCTATCTTCGCACGCTTGTGTCTTGGCTTGAGACGCTTGCTGTCTACGGCGCGCCATCAATTCACAACGAGAGTCTTAGCGGACAGGCACCGGCCAACGATGGGCTCAACGTTGACTCGCTCCGCGCCTCCCTCCTCCTCGCGCTTTGCTCGGTCCTTGGCGAAGTGCGCTCACTCGCGCTTCATGGCTTTACTCTTCTCGACGTCCATCTGAACAACGCGGCAATCGACTCTGGGTCTCCACCGCCGGTCACCATCATGGGCCTCATTATCTCGCATGGTTCGCAGCTCCTTGCCCGCGCACACCGTCTCGACTCGCCCGACGACGTTCCTTCCGAGCTTACGGTGGAGGAGCTGTCGTCGCGTGAGTCGCGCTCTGCTCGTGATGCCTGGGCTCGGTTCCTCGGTGCGCTCGGCGCCGAGGCCGCTCGCTGGCAGGCCCTCGCCCCAGCGCTCGGCATCATGTGGCCTATTGCGCTAGGCCGCCTCGCCGCCGTCCAGCCGCGGCCGATTGGCAAGGCGGTCGTCATCGGCGACACTTCCAACGTCGCGCGCGCTGCCATCAAGGTCACCTTTTCCGCCTGGCGCAACTACCTTGCGCTTGCCATGGCGACCGTTCCGCACAAGGCTCCGCCGACGTCGTCTGATCCCAACGCGCCACCACCGCTGCCGTCCGCCTTTCTTCGCCCGGACCTCACTGTCATCCCGCCGACCTCGCTGTGGACCATCTCGCCGTTCCAGTTCTACACCTGGACCGTTGCCGCCCTCTTTTCAGCGGCACCAGCCCATGTCGACGCCGTCCTCGAGGCGGTGCCCATGGCCTCGACCTCGCATGCGGGCGCCTTTGTCACCGCTATCACCTCGTTTGTCTCGGGACTCGTCTCGGACTCGCTCTTTGCCTCGGGAGGCGCCGGCAGCTCCGACTCTGACGGAGGCCCACCACCGGTCTTTACCACCGACCAAAAGCTGCGGACCCAGCTGGCGGCATCGCAGCTGATGGCGCTCCTCGTTCCGCGCCTCGACTCGGACATTTTGCACATGGATGGTTCACTTCGTAAGCACCTTCTCTCGTACCTCTCGACGTGCGTGCTGTCGTCGACCGGGCAACCAACGACGCGCCCGACTTGATGGCGGCGAACCTAGCGTCGATTGTCGCCGATCTTAACGCGTGCTACTTTGGATACCGCTGGGATGCGCGGTCGGGAGTCGTGGCTTTCAACTCAGCGGGCAAGCTCAGCACCACCCGCGGCGGCAGCGGCGACTCAGACGATGAGCTGGCCGACTCTGAGGAGACACTGCAAGAGATCGAGTCGCAGGCGCTCCTCCGCCTCTCGTCGCTCTCATTCATGTATAAGCAGCTCCGCAAGCAGCTCTTTGAAGCATTCGCCCCGCTTGCTGTTGCAAAGACAACCCCGCCAGCCACCGCCATTGTCATGGCCTCGGCGGCGCTGAGCACATGGTACGGGCCCGAGTTTGAGAACGGCGTCTTTGCCGCCACCGGCAAGGCCATGGCCTGGACTCGCAAGCTGCTGAGTCAGTGCGCCGACTGCGATGCGCCGCTCTTCGACATTGCTCGCCAGGCCGCCTTTCTCATTCTCGCTCAGTCGGCCACCCTCTGCTCGCCAGAGACCACCACCGGTGTTCTCGACCGCATGTCCGCGCTTGTTCTCGAGACCGAGGCTGCGCCCATTCGGGAAGCGCTCTTCTATGCCATCGGCCGTTTTGTGCTAGTCCGAACCGCCGACAACGAACCGAGTGAGCAGGCCAGCAATGGCGACAGCACCGATGCCATCCGCAAACCCGGCCCCGACATTGCCTTTGGCCCCGCGCTCCACCTCGCGCTGCTCCAGTGGGCGTCGCCGACGCTTGGGACTCGCAAGCTGGCGTTGCAGGTCATTGACGCCATCACCCTTGGCGTCGCCGCCGAGTCGCTCATCATGAAGGGCAAGTGGCAGTTTGCCTCGGACGTCTCCAGCAAGTGCCTGCAGTGGCAGTTTGAGCTTGTCCAGAGTCTGATGACCTCGTGCCCGCATCTGGCGCGCTCGCTGTATGAGACAACTCACTCCCTGCTTGTCGACCGCAAGCTCGGCTTTGAGACTGTCAACCAGGTCCTTCACTACATGCTGCCGATGCTCAAGGTGGTGACAGAGGCTGCTGCCGACGCCGAAGTCCGCGCCGCCAAGGCCGGCAAGGCCGCTGGCTCACGGAAGCGGACCATTGCCCTCCTGCGCTCGCTCCTCAAGCTGACTCTGCTCTACGGCGAAGCGCATGTGCAGCAGCTCGAGCGGGCGTGGCAGCTGGTTGCTGCCACCCTGCCCATCTATGCCGTCATGGCCTTTCTGCTCGACGTCGGGACCAACGCCGACATGCCGGGCTTTGTCCCGGTTGCCAAGTCTGTTGTTGTCTACCTTGTCCGGTACGTCCCGCAGGACGTGGTCCTCATGCTTCTCAACGTGCTCCAGCTCCGCGAGTCGGACGAGCACGAGGCCTTTTCCCAGTCACTTCGCTCGTACACCTCGGAAGCCTCGCTACTGCCGGCGTTTCTCGAGCGCGGCCGGGCCGGGCCACCGCCGTCGGCTCGGATCTCGCAGTTTGAGATGGCTGTCATCCTGCTCTCGGAGCTCATTCCCGAGACCGCCTTTGTCCTCACCGACGCCACCCACGTCGTCCTCAACGCCGGCGTCCTGCTCATGGACTCGCCCAACTCGGTTGTGTGGCACCACGCCAAAGTCCTGCTTGTCAACGTCATTGCAGCGCTGGCTCCATCGACGGCGTCCGACGAGCTCGTCGATGGCTTGCTCGACTCGCTCACCGCCACCGAGGCGCCGCTGTGGGCGCGTGAACCGCGGCTCCACCCGCGGCTCAAGGTTGGCGACAACGACCCATCTACCACTACGCTGCAGGCCTTTGTCGGTGATCTGGTCCAGCTCATGGGCCGCGAGACCGTCACTATGCACGCTTGGTCGCTTGAGGCGCTCAAGTGGGGCCTCAAAGCCAAGTATCCACACCAGGCGCGCCGCGCACTGCAGATCTTCCGCGCTCTTCCTGGCGAGTTTATGATGAATGTGCTCGAGGCGCTCATGCAGCGCATTCACATAGGCATTTCCGCTGCCGCGTACGATGCCATTGAGCTCCCGCTCCTTCGCGAGATGCTTGTCTCTCTCGCAGCTGTCTTTGACTCGATCGACTTGGGGCGGTGGTTGAGCGTTGGCGTGCCTTCTGGCGCGTTGCTCCACGCCGACCCGTTGAGGACAAGCCGTGACGGAAGCGGCGAGAGCGACGAAGACGGCGGCGGTGACGATGCCGCCGATGATCTGGATACGTCAACCGCTGGCGCACAGCAAGTTGTTGCCCGACTTGGCGCAGCGCTGTGGGCGACAATGGGTCTCTGCCTCACATCGTCGCCCGACCTTTTCGCGGCCAACTTTTATGTCTTTGCCGCCGCCGTCCGCTCGCTCCTCCTCCGACCGCTCCTCGGCATTGATCGGAGTGGGCGGTACGGCGACTCGCCCAAGCCCGACATTGTCGAGCTCTTTGCACAGCTCGACGTTAAGAGCTACCTCGAGACTGCGTATCCGGCGATGTGGTCGGAGCAGGGCGGAAAGGCGAGGATTCCGCCTATGGCTGCCGTCCTGGTCAAGGCAGCATGCCTCGAGACGACAGCTTCGGCGGCGTACGATCTCATTGCCGCCATGTCGTTGCTTGGCAAGACCTTTACCGGACTGTGGCCGGCACCCAAGGCGTGTGTGACGCTCGGTCCACTCGGCCCGCTTCACGTCTACGCCTGGCTCCTGGCGATTGACCTTGACTTTCGGTCGCTGCACTCTGCGCGTGAGCACGATGCCGAGTGCGTCCTCGCCCTCCACGCTGTCGGCTCAGCGCTGGGCGTGCCGGAGCTCGGTGAGCTGGCGTCGACGGTGGCGCTGCCTGGTCCTGATCGCGAGGCTGGAGCCGAGTCGCTGGCGGAGACGCTGGCGCACGCGCTATGGGCGCCATCGTCGCCGAGCTCACTCATTTTCTTCGTGTGGGATAGTCTGTTCATGTCGTACATGCTCGGACGCGAAGAGGCGCGGGTGTCGGCGCTCTCGGCACTGCTGGCGGTGTTGCGGGCTGGCGCTAGTGTACCGGAGCGACACTCGGAGCTGGCCAAGCTTCTCAGCGAGCGGACGCCGGTCTTCCACTCGCTGGCCGCCGACTACGAGGCTGCCGGGCGGATGCCTGCACGCGTGGCTGGGCTGGAGCGTCGCGGATGCGGGCGGTCACCGGTCTCACTCCCGGACATGCTCTTTTCAGTGCTCGAGGAGCATCTGGCTCTCACGGCACAGCTCTCGCTCGACCAAAACAATGTCGATCCGGACAAGTACGTCAACGCTTTTGCTGAGTGGCGGAACATGCTGCATGCTCTTAACACCCGCTCGCGCGAGCGGTCGCGGGCCGACTTTGTGCACCGCCTTGATGCGGTGGTTGGGACCGAGCTGTGGGACCAGCACGAGGGCGAGTCAAGCGTCGATGCGTGGCAGGCGCTACTCGCAGACGTGCTTATGGAACACTTTTCCGGCCTCGACCTCGTCTTGTTTGACGAGACGGTCATGGAGCTCGCGCTCGCGCGACAGGCATCGTCGAGATCGAATAAGGATGGCCTGTTTGCCAACGACTCGGGGCTCTCGGTTGTCCCGCGTGTCGACTCGATTCTCGGGCCCGACTCGCCCGAGTCGACGCCCCGGTCTGTCGACCGCGTAGTTATCCTCGGCCCTGACAACCAGGGCGACGAAACCATCGACTCGGACGACGATGGCGAGGCGGGAGCTAGTATGAAGCGCTCGGTCTCGGCTGTCGTCGAGCGACGGGGCGGACGCCATGGCTCGCGTGGGCTGCGGTCGCGGGCGTCCGAGGCACCAGCACCGTCGCGCCCCGTGCGCAAGCGTGAACCGGGCAAGTACGCCACCCTCAAAGCCGTTCGCTCACCGGCTATCCGGGAGCTGGAGATGGCCGAGATGACCGATCCGCCACCCGGGGCTTCCGAAGCGCCAGCACGCATGTCTGCTGTCCCGTCGCGGCTGCTTTCACCAACCTCCATGTCGAGACAGCGGGCAGTGACGACAAGCTCGCAGCAGCGGCCAGGCGCGCGCGTTCTCGAGCCAGTCTCGACCGACAACGTCTCGACACCTGTCCGGCCAACGCTCGACGTCTCGCACAGCAGCAAAAGCCAGGCACAGTCACCCGGCTCGCCCAATCTACACATCCTCAAGCACGTGCGTCGGTGGAAGGATGCTGTGCGCGGCAGCGAGGCTGGTGACGGCGAGTCATTTGCCTTTGTTCCACTCGCCCACGACATTGTGTCGATGCTTCAACGCGATGCTGCGGTCGTCTTTGCTGCCAACCATGGCGTGCTTGCAACCGTACCGGACTTTGCGCTCATCAGCGGCATCCGCGACCAGATGAAGGAGCTGCAGCTCGGAGTGCGGGCGCGGGTGAGCGTCGAGACCGCAGACCAGCGTCTCGAGCTGCTGCGGGCCAAGGTTGATCCCGAGCTAGTGGAGGAGATTCTCACCGAGCGCGGCGAGCTCATCTCGCACTTTGGCTCGCGCCTGCGGCGGTACATTTCGTGCAAGCAGGAGGTCGTGGCGTCGATGGAGCTGGCAGTCGCGCGCAGCGATGATGCCTTTGCGCTCTACACCTTTGCGATCGAGATCCTCGGCCTTGTCCAGCGGTGGTCAAGTGTTACCAAGGCCGGTCTCAACATTGAGCTCTGGATTCGGCAGCTGATGGGCATTGACGACAACGACGACGTGGGCCACTCTCTCGAGCTTGTCGCCCAGCTCAATGAGTCGGCCGGTTTTGTCATCAAGAGTCTCAAACGCGCCGTTGTCGAGGCCTCACGCGCCAAGTTTGCCAATTGAACACATCGCCCGCCAAATGTCCGCTGTGTAGGTTTGTACCCCCTCTCTAACGGTAAGGGTGGTCGATTTGGTAAACAGTGCGGCGGGCACGGCTGCCCTGCCCACGCTGCCAGCGCACCACTTTTTTTGTTCGATGCGTTGCAAACACAAATGGTGCACGCTCACGTTCCGCACTCGCATCACGGGTCACGGACCACCGCACGCCGCCGCCTTTGCTACCAACACAAGCAAGATGAAGGCAAAAAGCAAGAGCGGTATACTCACCCGAGAACAAGGGCAATACCATGTGGGTGGATGTATGGCAAGACTGCCCGTCTTTGTTCTCGTTGCCGCCGTCGCCCTCCTCCTCGACTCGGCTGCGGTCGGTGCGGGGGCTGGCGCCGTCGTGGTACCCCCTGGCCCAATGGCCTCAGTGGCGGCGTATGCTGCGCTCCTCACCCCTGCCGACAACATTCTCCAGCTCATGCCTGGTACATACACAACATGCAATACGTCGGTCGTCATTCCCTCGACTTTCCCTGTCGTGGTCCGTGGCTCGAATGATGTGGCCAACCCCTCGCTCATTGTCTGCACGCCCGGAATGGCCTCTCAGCCTCTCTTTGCTCTCGATCCAGGCAATGCCCATGCCGCCGACGTAACCTTGACAAGCGTCTCCATCATCTATCCTGATATGGTCATGTCGGGCAGATTTGCATCGGATGTACATACTCTGTTTGTATCGGACGTCGTGGTCGAACATGGCGCCGACTTTGTCTTTGACGTGCAACTCGGCAACGTTGTCATTGAGGACACGGCTGTGCGGAATGTCACTGGTCTTGTTCAAGTGCCGGTTGGAAATGGAGAAGTCTCCGTGATCAATGTGGTCGTCGATGGCCCGCGCCGCCATGCGAGTTCCGGCTTCGGTATCATTAACCTCTCGTCGTTGAGCGACCTTCTCCTGCGCAACGTGACCATCACCTCTAGCCTGGGTACTCTGAACGGCCCTATTGTTGCCAACGGAGCTATTTTGCGCTGCTACAGCTTGTCGGTGAGTGACATTGCATCAAGCTATACTGGCGCGTCCTTGGTTCCCCAAATAGTCGAGCTTGAAGACTCGACGTTCATTGACATCTCTGCGCCGTCGACCCCAAGGCTCATTGCGAGCAAGTCCGGTGCGTCTGTTTTCATCACGAACACATCGTTCACAAGAGTATCCGTGTCAGCTACGTTGATCGATCTTCAGGGCTTTGCCAAAGTCATGCAAGTTGAGGATGTGGTGGTGGAAAGCTGCACAGCAACAGAGATGATCAAGACCGCACCAGTCTCTTACAATGACTTCACCAACGTCGTCTTTCGTGCCAACACTGCATCTGGCTCGTTGGTCAGGTTCCAGGCCGCAGACACGTCATCATTGAGCAATGTTGCTGTGATGAACAACACGGTGAGCGGCACGAGCGGCACCATGCTTCTCAACATGAAGTCCGGAAGCGCGGTCACGATATCTGGCTGCCTCATTGAGGGCAACACGGCCAGCACAGGATCTGGCGGTGGCTTTCAAGTCTCTGGCGGTGGATCGATCCTGGCACTCGCCGGGCCCGAGACGGTTGTACGCGGCAACTCGGCAGGCTTGAATGGTGGCGGGGTGTTCCTGGCGAGTGTGGCAAGCGTGATGGGATCGGGCAGACTAGTGGTGAGTGACAATACGGCCGGCGGCTCTGGCGGCGGGCTGTATGGTGTTGTGGGTGCCATGGATGCAAGTGTGACGATCGAGTCGCTCCGCAACATTGCTAGCGGCGATGGTGGTGGCATGTGGCTGGCGCCGTTGAGCGGCTCGCTGGCGTGTGCTAGCACGATTACGGCCGAGGCCAACGCAGCCGGCGGTTCAGGTGGTGGCGTGAGTCTGGGCGGCACGTCCGGGTCTGTGAGTGCAACCGGGGCGTGGACAGTCCGTAGCAACAGCGCCGGAGCAGTCGGCGGCGGAATTGCCATTCCAGCGTCCGCGGACGTATCGCTGGTCTCGACTGGCTCCTTGGCCTGGCTGGTCGAGGGCAACAGCGCGAGCTCTGATGGCGGAGGCATCGCTGTAGCGAGCTCGAACAGTGGCATCGACGTCCGGCTGGAGCCGACAAGCGGACTGACGGTGGCGGGCAACGCCGCGAGTGGCGGCGGCGGTGGTATCTGGCTGGGGCCCGGTGCAAGCTCCACAATTCATGTCGGGTACGCGACGGTGACCAACAACAGCGCCAGCGGCGACGGAAGCGGGTTGTATGCGGCGACAGGCACATCAATATCGCAGTCTGTGGTGGAGGCAAACAGCGGGCCGACTCCAGGACTTGTTGTGGCAAACGCGGCTGTGAATGTGACCACCAGTGTGGTCCGGACAAACGCGGCGAGCACGCCGGCCTTGACCGCCGGCCTGTCTGTGTCGGGTGCGATGGGATCTGCGACCTTTGACAGCGTTTCTGCGGTGTGCGGCAACGTGGCGCTGCACACCTGCGAGCCGAACGTGGTATGCAGCGGCGGGGCGATCACGACTGGGTTGCCAAACGGATGTGGGACGAGCGGGTCCGCGTGCGTCCACGGCGTGCCGCAGACGTGTGGCGTCGGCGCGCGCAATGCGGCGTGCTCGTCGTGCAAAAAGGGTTTTGGCCCGTCGGCTTCCTGCGAAATAGTGCTCAACTGTGGCGCCGACGCGCTGTGTACGACGACGCCATCAAGCGGATGTTCTAGCTGCGCGCCGGGATTCGCAGCTGCAGACAACGGTATCTCGTGCGTCAAGCCGTGTCCACCTGGTCGCTACTTTGTGAGCAAGACGAGCGTGTGTGGGACGTGCGACAGTGGAGCGTTCTGTGCCGAGTGCTCGGGCTCCTCGAGCTACTGCACGGCGTGTGTGGCAGGGTACATGCTGAGCGGACCTGAATCGGGCATGTGCGTACCTGCGCCACCACTCCTTGAAGTTCTTGGGGGACCGGATTGGTCGCGGTCTCGTCTGGCGACACAACGCCCGAGTTTAGCGATGGGACGCGACTGGTGCCTGTTGCCCGCGGCGGAGTGGGATGGTCAATCTTTGAGCTGGCGCCGGCAACTGCGCCCCACGCCGATGTCTATGTGACAGCCGTCAGTGTGAGCGTTGACGTTGGCTCACGGGGGTGCTCGCAGTGAGTCCGGTGAGCGCGTCGCTCACCTCGGGCGCCTTGGCTGCCAGCGGCGGAGAGATCAACGTGACGTTTGTGGCAGAGTCCGGTACCGACTCGAGTGCGTTTGGCGACGTGAGCGTGAGCTACACTGATGTCAGCAGCTCGCACAACGGGCTGTTTGTCTTCCGAGTCTCTGCCAGCGGGCTGTCGTGCGTGGCTCCGGCCACTTTGGACTCATGCGGGGTGTGCTCGGGGCCGGGCACCGGGCATGTGGCCGACTCGGACAAGGACGCATGCGGCGAGTGCTTTGGTGGCGGCGGGGCGCTGGATGAGTGCCTCGTGTGCTACGGCGGAAACAGCGGGATGGACGACTGTGGAGTGTGCGGCGGGAACAACGCGAGCTGCGCTGGGTGCGATGGCGTGCCCAACTCTGGCGGGACCCTGGATGTGTGCGGAGTGTGCGGCGGCGACGGCAGCTCGTGCCTGGGATGCGATGGTGTACCGATTCCTCTGGGCGGACAGCACTTTGATGCGTGCGGAGTGTGTGGCGGAGCGTCGCTGGGCGCATGCCTTCAGTCGTGCAACGCAACTGCACCGGAGCCGGTCTACTTTGACTGTGCAGGCGTGTGCAACGGGAGTGCGGCGCTCGATGAGTGCGGGTGTGCACCGGCGGGACGACTGGCCTCACGCCAGGCATGTTTGACGATGTGTGCGGTAGTTGCTTTGGCCCGTGCGGCGGGTGCGGCGGATCGGCGGCCAATGTCACCGACTCGTGCGGGGTGTGCGGTGGCGACAACACCACATGCAGCGGATGCGACGGCCGCGGCGCCGTGTATGATGCGTGCGGGGTGTGCGGCGGCAATACGAGCACGTGCGCAGTGTTTTGCGACGGCGTCGGCGCGTACTTTGACTGCGCTGGGGTGTGCGGCGGCAGCGCTGTCGTCGATAGCTGCAATGTTTGCTCGGGCTCGGCCGGCCTCGTCCCGACTGACTTTCACAAGGATAGCTGCAAGGTATGCTTTGGCGGCAATGCTGCGCTGGACGAGTGCGGCGAGTGCTTTGGCAACAATGCGGCCCTCGACTCTTGCGGGATTTGCGGTGGTGGCGACGTCGCACGCGATTCGTGCGGACTCTGCTTTGGCACCAACCGGTTCGTGGATGTGTGTGGAGTGTGCTTTGGCAACGCCACGTCGTGCATCGGGTGCGACTTTGTGGCGTTTTCGGGCGCGCAGGACGACGCGTGTGGCGTTTGCGCCGGTACGAACGCATGTTTGGCCACCCGCTCGTCGACGTCGACGCAGTACATGCTGTGGCTTGCGGGCGCCACGGCTGGTATGCTTATCTGCGGTGGCCTTGTATTTGTCGTTCTCTACTACTTGCGGGCGAAGGAAGCCAAGATCAAGTATGTGGAGGGCGTTATTGAGGCTGCAGCCGTTGACGCGCCGAGCGGCAAGATCACGCTCATGTTTACCGATGTTGAGTCGTCGACGACGCTGTGGGAAGACCACCCCGAAGCCATGAAGAAGGCCATGGAGATGCACAACGCGGTCTTCCACGACCTCATTGATCTGACCGGCGGCTACGAGGTGCGGACTGAGGGCGATGCATTCATTATTGCATACAAGCATGCAGGCGATGCGGTGGCGTGCGCGTTGCAGCTGCAGAGCGCGTTGATGGAGGCGCCGTGGCCAGACGAGCTACTGAAGAATGCGGCAACGGCAGAGGTGCCGATCGGCGCGGCCGACGGCAGCTGCGGACAACCATCCGAGACACAACACGAGCTGCGGCGGCCGACGGCTGCGATGGCGCGGTCCAAGCGTGGAAAGCGGGCTCGAGGAGCTGGCTCCGAGGCCACAGCTGGCGCAGAGGCCGAGGAGCAGCAGGACCAAGTGGTTGATGGCTTGTCGGCGCCATCGTCGCCGTCGTCCTCATGGTCTTCATCGTCAATTGTCGACTCGGCCATGGCCTCACACGCGATGCTGTTTGCCTTTAAGCCGTCACCGTGGCTCTTCCGCGGGCTTCGGGTTCGTGTCGGGCTACACACCTGCAAGCCGGAGCGGGTGTTCGATGAGCGGACGCAGCGGTTCAACTATATCGGCCCGCACATGATCCAAGCGCAGGCGATCGGCGACGCCGGGCATGGCGGGCAGACAGTGGTCTCACACACGACCGTCGCGGCGCTCCGCAACCGGTTGTTTGAGGGTGCAGAGCTTGTCCGGCTGGGCACCTATGCGTTTGATGCCTGTTCCGGCGAGTTTGACCTCTACTCGCTTCATGCCAAGCTCCTTGCTGGGCGTCAGTTCCCCACACTCCGAGCCAAGGCGCTGCGGGTCAGCGGTGAGCCGGTCGAGGTGCGGAGCAGGACGACGAGTGTGGAGAGCTCGGTCTCGGCGGTCGATCCGAAGAAGGCTGAGGCGGCGGCCAAGGCTCTGCTCGGCGAGACGAAGGGGAAGAGTCAGGGAGCTAAGCGGCCTGCGACACCGACGGTGGTGCCGCCATCGCCGCTGCCGCCGGCAGCCGGCACAACACTTTCGGCACGGCGGCGCAAGCGGCGAAACCGGGTGGCGCCAGCCGGACAACAAGCCAGCATGCGGCGGGTTTCGTCGCTGTCGGTGGTGGTCGCGCCGGGCGGCCCGTCGCGGTCACGGTCGCGATCGCCGTCGGGCTCGGCCTCGGGCTCGATGTCGCGGACATTGTCGCGGAGCCACTCGCGGACGGCGTCGCAGAGCACGACGACCGGTCGGCCCGGGGTGCGGCTGCAGATTCTGACCGATTTTTCCGGCGGGCAGGTCTCGCCGAGCTCGCGGTCGCCGACGACGCCGTCGATGCTCAAGACGCCTTCGACACCTATCTTTGTGCGGCGGCGATCGGAGGAGCGATTGGAAGCCGGACGACAGAGCCTCGGCTCCGACGCTGCGTTCCGACGGCGTTCGGTTGGCCGGACGGGTGCTGTGGTGAAGTCAGGCGAAGCCATGCAGAGCACATCGTCGCTGTCGACGCGGCGGACGAGCGGGCAGTTGCGTCTCGCAACGTCGATGGAACACTTGCCGGTAAAGCAATGACGAGGGCGAGGAGGAGCCCATGGAGGCGCTGTTACTTGCGGGCGGCTACATGTTGGAAGAGACGACAACGTCCTCGCCGACGACGAGGTGGTGGGCAGTGCCGTCAAACTCAAAGTCGAGAATGTCGCCGGCAGCAAGGTGTGCAACGTTGAGGGTGGCGACAAAGGCGGCGAGGGCGGGCGGAGCGTCCTGGGCGGTGAGGAGGGCGACGGGGCGGGTAAAGACGAGGTCAAACTCGGCGCCGTTGAGCTTCTGAGTCTCGCGAGCGATCTCGGACGAGGCAAGGGCCGGGCGGGAGGCGAGCGGGCGGACGGGCGCGCCGAGGACGTTGGTGATGGTCTCTGCGTTCTGGGCGAGGACGTCTTCGAGGAAGGGTGCGGCGGCGAGGTCGACCCAGACGTCGACCGAGTCTGCGATGACGAGGCCGGACGACTTGCGGAGCTTTTGGACGCGGGAGAGGATGTCGCGGGCAAGGCCCTTGTTCTCGAGGGTCTGGTCAAAGGTGGTGTCGAGGAGGACGACAAAGGCGCCCTCGGTGATGACCTCGTACGAGGTGGCATCGGCGTCGGTGGCCTCGCGCTTGACAAAGCTGACGGTCATGTCGTCCCCGGCGAGGGTGACACCGTCGTCGAGTGCGAGCTCACCGTTCGCGAGAAAGGCGGCGACAGCGGCGGTGTCGAGGCGCTTGATGGCGCCAAAGACCTTGCCAGCGCCCTTGCCGAGGCGCGGGCCGAGGGCGCGGTGGTTGGGCTCTGCACGGGCGTCGACGTACTTGGCAAAGTCGGTCTCAAAGACAATGTCCTCGACGTTGGCCTCGTCCTTGACGTAGGCGGCGACGGTTGCGAGCTGGTCGAGGACGGCGGCGTCCGAGTGGATGACGATCATCTTGGCAAGCGGGTACTTGGACGAGCGGCCGATCTGGTCGCGGAGAACGCGGGCCATGACGATGACCTTGCGCATGGAAGCGACGGCTGCCTCGATGGCGGGGTCGCGGATGGACTCGTCGGCGGTGGGGAAGGAGAGGTAGTGGACCGAGTCTGCGAGCATCTCCTCGGGCAGGGCCGGCTTGAGCGACTGGTAGAGGTCCTCGACGAGGAACGGGGTGAGCGGGGCCATGGTGACGGTGAGCTTGAAGAGCATGCCGAAGAGGACAGCCAGCGATGTCTTCCACTCGTCGACCGAGGCCTGACCCTTGAGGCGCGGGCGGTTGAGGCGGAGCCACCAGTTGGTGAGGAGCTCGATAAAGGTGAGCAGGCCCGGGACGACGGTGGAGAGGCGGTAGGCCTCCATCTCCTGGCGGACAAAGGCGATGAGCGACTCGCACTCGGAGAGGATCCACTTGTCCATGAGGTTGGTGGTGGCGGAGCCGGCGGCCGGGTCAAAGGCGTGGCCGGCGGTGGCGAGCTCGTTGGCGTACTCGACAAAGAACCGCTGGGCATTGTACCACGGGTTGAACACGTCGCGGATGACGGCAAAGACGCCCTCGGAGCGGAACTTGAGCTCTTGGGCGTGGACAACCGGCGAGTTGATGAGGTAGAGGCGGAGGGCGTCGGCGCCGTAGACGTCGATGATCTCGGTCTCGGGGTTGGGGTAGTTCTGCTTCGACTTGGACATCTTCTTGCCGTCTGCGGCGAGGACGAGGCCGTTGACGATGACGTTCTTGAATGGCGAGGTGTCAAAGAGGGCGGTGGAGATGACAAGGAGGGTGTAGAACCAGCCGCGGGTCTGGTCGAGGCCCTCGGCGATAAAGTCGGCCGGGAAGTACGAGGCCTCAAACGACTCCTTGTTCTCAAACGGGTAGTGCTTCTGGGCGTATGGCATGGAGCCCGACTCGAACCAGCAGTCAAAGACCTCGTCGATGCGCTTGAGCGGCGGCATGCCATCGCGCTTGGACGGGATGGTCAGGTCATCGATGGTGTCGCGATGGAGGTCGGTGATGCCTGTGGCGCCGGTGAGCTCCTCGAGCTGCGCCACCGAGGAGACGACCACGACCTCCTCGCCGTCGTCGGACATCCACACCGGGATGGGCGTGCCCCAGAAGCGGTTGCGCGAGATGGCCCAGTCGCGGGCGTTCTCGAGCCAGTTGTGGAACCGGCGGGTCCCGATCTCCTCGGGCACCCAGTGCGACTCCTTGTTGTTGGCCACAAGGCGCTCCTTGAGCGCGGTGACGTTGACAAACCACGAGGGGATGGCGCGGTAGATGAGCGGCGTGTCCGACCGCCAGCAGAACGGGTACGAGTGCACAATCGAGCCAGCCACCACAAGCCGGCCCTCGTCCTTGAGCTTCTTGATGATGGCCTTGTCCGCAGCCTTGACGTGGACGCCGGCAAAGTCGGTGACCCGCGCCGTAAAGTTGCCGTCAAAGTCGACCGGGCACGGCAGCTCGCCACCCTTGACAATGACGCCAGCGCCGAGGCAGACCCGGTAATCGTCCTCACCAAAGGCAGGCGCCTGGTGAACAACGCCGGTACCCGAGTCGGCAGACACGTAGTCGTCGGTGAGGACCTGCCAGTAGTTCTCGGCACCCTCGTTGTCGGCAAAGTAGGTGAAGAGCGGGGTGTACCGCCGCCCGGCGAGCTCGGCACCCGGGAACTCGCGGACAATGGTGAACTTGGGCGCGTCGTCGCCCGAAGCCGCCGCGCCATCGTCGCCGGCCGCCTTGGCCTTGCCCTTCTTCTTGCCCTTGCCCTTGCCCTTGCCCTTCTTGGCCGAAGGGTAGAGCGAAGCAAGGCGGTCCTTGAGCAGGATAAAGTCGGTGTCGCGCTCAGTGTCGTGGACCTGGACGTAGGTCATCTCCGGGTTGACGCACAGCGCAAGGTTCGACGGCAGGGTCCACGGCGTGGTCGTCCACGCCAGCAGCGCGACGCCCGGCTCGTCCACAAGCGGGAACGAGACGGTCACCGCCGGGTCCGACACGTCCTTGTAGTTCTGGCCAGCTTCAAAGTTGGAGAGCGGCGTCGAGCAGGCGGTCGAGTAAGGCATGACCTTAAAGCCCTTGTACACCAGCCCCTTCTCAAACAGCTGCGAGAAGACCCACCAGACAGACTCCATGAACGGCGTGTCCATCGTCTTGTAGTCATTGTCAAAGTCGATCCACCGCCCGACCCGTTCGACCACCCGCTCCCACTCCTTGGAGTAGCGCATGACAATCGACCGGCACTCGGTGTTGTACGCGGCAATGCCCATGTCGAGCACTTGCTGGCGCGACGTGATGCCGAGCTTCTTATCAATGAGGTACTCGATCGGCAGGCCGTGGCAGTCCCACCCAAACCGGCGCGTCACGTGGTGGCCCGTCATGTGGGCATACCGCGTCACCGCGTCCTTGATGGTCCCCGCAAGGATGTGGCCATAGTGCGGGAGGCCAGTGGCAAACGGTGGGCCATCAAAGAACGAGAACTCGGGCTTGCCTTCCGACAGCTTGAGCGAGGTACGGAACGCATCGATCTTGCGCCAGTACTCGAGCGTCTCCTCCTCTTTCTTGGCAAACTTGCGCTGAGCGGGCACTACGTGGGCGGGATTGCGCAGCGGCAAGGGGTTCAGTCATGGCCAGTGTGAGTGATCATGATCGTGTTCGTGATCGCGATCAAGTCCATCCAAAAAACGGATCAGGCCGCGGGCATAGCGAGGCGAGGAAGGCGGGAGTGGGGAAGGGGGGGGGGGAAGGCGGGGAAAGGGGAAGGAGGGAAGGAGGGGGGGTAATGGACGTACGCGGGGTGAACTGGGATGCGGCCATGCTGGGCTGCGTCAACAGTGAGGTGTTCGTGACGTGGGGGTGGTTGACGGAGGGAGGAAGGGGGGAGGGGGTGAGGAAGGGGCATTCGCTTTTGAGTGATTCGCCCATCGAAGCCAAGAGTGGGCATGGACGAAGTCTGGAAGGATCTGCATGGAGGAGGTATGGGTATGGTAGTGGAGTGATCAATGGGGGTTTTTAATCATGGCATGTGTGACGGAGAGGAGATGGGCGCGATGTGGGAGGAGATCGAGATGGAGCAGGTGACGAAGATGAGCCGGGATGGATGGGTCGGAAGGGGAAGGGGAGGATGCATCGGCTTCCCCCACCCCCTCTCCC